CTATCACTGTCTTTCTGGAGGTGAGAAAAGCTAAATGTTCTTGCTAGATCTGCTAAGGGACCGTCTGCACCCCCAACCCACAAATTTGAACCAAATCAAACATTCTTTTTTTTTAAACATAAGGAATCCACAGTTAAGAAAATTACTTTGTTCCGGAATTGAAGTGTTCATTAATTTATTTTGCACCTATTATTAATGCTTACTTTATATGTGCTATCACTGGGATAGGTAAAATGACAGATAAATGTGTCTCTATCCTCTGTCTCTCATGGTATAGCAAGAGAGATAACACAAACAAATAACTGCAACCTATTGTAATAATAACTTCTTTTTAGCATTTACTTTGTGCTGTCCACTAGTCCAAGTACTTCATGTGTATTATGAGGCAGGTATTATAAATTATACAGTAGAAGAATGTTAGAGTGGAGATACAAATAAGTGAGGAGTTCTAGAGTTTACAGGAAAAGCTTCCCAGGAGAGGTGTTCATCATTAGAACTGGGGTTTTAAGGATACATAGGTGTTCATCAGGCAGGTAGGGAAGTACATTTCAAGTGTAATTTTTGTAGACCATAAAAGCTTTTTGGTATAGTCCGAGGGCAGAGATTGGTGCTATAGTGGAACAGAGGCGGTTAGTTCAGGGCAGGTTGCATATGCCCTGCAGAAGTGTTTAAGTTTTATACAATGAGTCAAATTTCTTGAGGGTATAGACTTTTTGCATTGGAATCATCTGAGGCAAACCCTTTTTCTCAAGTATACAAAGATTAATTCCAAATAGATTAAATATTTACGTGAACAACAATAACAAAAGAAAACAATAGGAAAAAAGTTAGGGAAAATAATTGAACAATCCTGGTCAATAAGATAGGAAATCCTCAAGTCATGAAGGAAAAAAGACAGTAGTACCCCTTTATCCTCAGTTACCCTTTCTGAGGTTTCACCAGTGGTCACCTACAGTCTGAAAATATTAAATGGAAAATTTCAGAAATAATTTATAAGTTTTCAATTGCATGCCCTTCTGAGTAGTGTGATGAAATCACATTCCATTCCACTTCGTCCTGCCCAGGACGTGAATCATCCTTTTGTCCAGTGTATCCATGCTGTGAGTACAATACAGTAAGAGAAATCACACTCTCAAAACTTTTATTACATTGTAGTGTTATAATTATTCTATTTACTATTAATATTAGTGGCTTACTTTATAAGTTAAACTTTACCATAAGTATGTATATATAGGGAAGAACTGTATATATAGAGTTCAGTACTATCCATGGTTTCAAAGAATCCACTGGGAGTCTTGGGATGGATACCCCATGGACTACTATATTTGACTAAATAAAAATGAAAAATATTTGTACAGCTCTGGTTTAGTCTCTGAGACTGTAGTAATGAAATCTGCTTCAGTAGAGCTTATGTTCAAGTAAGGAAGGGTATTTAACATGTGAATAACAAATAAGATCATTTCTGGTAGTGGTAAATATTGCTTAGAAACTAGAGTTATGTGAAAGAGAATACCTCTGAGATGCACTGCTCAGGTCAGAGTAGAATTCTGTGAGCTGACACTTGAACCGCGACTTTAAATGATGAGGAAGAAGCCACAAAGAAATTTCCAGGCACAGGCCCTGAGGCAAGGATGAACTTTTTGAATTTCTTTTTTGAGTGGTTGGTTTTTTTCTGTTTTCCTTTTTTTATTTTATTTTTTTTTTATGGTTTGCTGTTGCTCATTTTTAATGGATGCAGTGTCTTCATGGATTTCTTTGAGGATAGCACTTAATAAATTTTAAACATTTGTCTTCTGTTCATAGAAAGAAATAGCTGTGCTACCTTCAGGTCCGTTGTTTATTTTCATCCTTTTCTTTTGGCTTTTGCTCTTCCTCAACTTGAGCTTCTATTAAGGGAGCACGGTGTCGATTGTTGGGCCTAACTTTAGGGTCAATGGATGAAATGTAGGAAAAGAGCCGCCTCTTCTTCCTTTCTCTCCCAAATAAAAGTGGGCTTTGTTATGGAGCATGAAGATGCTCTGATGCTTTCAGGGTAGACTATTAATTAAAAAAAAAAAAACCAAACAGATGTGGTTTTAGCTAGAAACCAATATTGTTGCTGCTAGATTTTGTATATAATAAAGGAGAAGAGTAAAAAGTTGGGCTTGGCTATTTCATATATATACTTTAATCATACTGATTTTAGTCCTGTAGTCCCCTCCTTCTTTCTATTATTGCTGCCTCTAGGTTTGGTACTTCCCCAGGCTGTGCTGGCAGGAATGTCTTCTACATGGTTGCAGTTTTCTTGTGCATGTGTTCATGTTTGTTTGAGACTGTTGTTTTCTCTGCACTGGCTTAATCCTCAATATAATCTCACCCTTCTCTCTTCCAGAATGAATGAATGTATGTCAGTGGGATTTTGGTAGGAAGCGGAGGAAAATCCATATGTTTAGTTTGTCTTACACAGAGTAGGTAATTCATAAGTACTTGTGGAGCAAATCAATTAATGCTGTTGAGAAAATTGGGCAGAGCATACTTTTATTAAAAAAAATTATGGCTCTAGAATATGGGTAATTAAATGAATCTTTTCTCTTTTACTGTTATTTATTCTTTTAATTTTATCCTATTTTAGGAAAGAATTTCATTTGGGTTAAAACTTATCAGTGGATTCCTAAAAGGTGACAAGAGTTGATTAGGGAAAAGGAACTATTATTTTCTTTTCTCTCATCTGAAGTTTCAGATGCCCACTACATAAACAAACAAAACAAAACAAAAAAACTTATCAGCGGAGGTACAATATGAGAAAGCTGTCATCTTTCACATTTTCAAAAAAAATGAAAGGCCTTAATTCCTTTTTTTTCCCCCCAGTGCTTAGCACAGTGCCTGGCATGTTATAAGTAATCAATAAATGATATTTTGTTAGTTTAACTTAAATTTATTTTGGTCATTTTCATCATCTAAGAAAATGGGGATTAATATATGTAAAGTACTTGAAATAGGTTTTGACATATATAGTAAGAGCTATGTAAGTGTTAACTATTATTATCTGATCCATGAACAACTGTTTTTCTCCTTGAAACTTTCTCTGATCCTACTAGTTTAATAATTTGCCTATCTATATTCTGCTTATATTTTATGTCATAGCCTTTCTGTTAAGCAACACTTGATTTGCTTGCTTGTGTGTCTCTCCACCAAATGTGGTTCTTTATTGCTGGGACTGTTCTTTTTTATCTTGGTAGTTTTGGTGAGTAGTCGTTGCTTGCTACATGTCATTAGTCCTCATTTTTGCTGGGTCTCAATGGATGAAGAGGATGGTGTGACTGGAACAAGGGATGGGGGTGCATTAAAATGTGACAAATAAGCCGACACCAGATTGTAAGTAGTTGAATACCAGACTGAAGAATTTGAACTTTATATTGTATGCTGTGGAAGGAATTTTTGATTACTGACCAAATTAGTTCTGTATTTTAGAAAGTTCAGGAGAATGTACTGGAAAGAAGAAGAGCGATTAGAGGCAAGGAAATGTAATATAAAGTCTGGCTCTTGCTATATTATAAGGTTCTTATTTTAGTTGAAAAATCTTCTAGCTCACACTTGAAGGATAGGTAGATCTTACCTTCATGTAACATTTTAAGCCATACAACAAATAGGCTTCAGGGCTTCTCTGATAACTTTAACTTATTAAAAAATGTTATATAAAGTTTTTAGTAAAATAATGGGTAAAATTTAATATAAACAAGGTGCACAATTACATTTTGTACATATCATGAAAATTCATCTTCTCCAAAAGCTTTTAAATTAATGAGTATCTTAAATCTGTTGTTTTCTGTTCTAATCATCATTCAACATTTAATGTGTATCATATGCAAGGATGTAATATGGGAAAAAAATTTTCTAGTTGGGAAAAGAAGTGAATTCTGTTTTTTGTATACTAAATTTCAGGTGTTTGTGTACATGCTTTACGTATAAGACAGAGTTCTAAAGAGTTTGAGAAAGTAGGCTAGAGATTGGAAGTTTGCCAACTAGTAATGGTAAATGAAGGGTAGGATTTGATGAGTTTGTGTATCTGATAAATAAGCAGTCTAAGATGTAAATATAATACAATGAAATGTTCTGCTCTTCTGGCATTAATGTCATGAGCTGCTTGGTTACTAGTGTTTGATGCATCAGAGTTGTAAAGAAGGATGAAAACTGAGATCTTGGGTTGAACCAGGGAAGAGGTCATTGGAGATTTGAGATTAGGTGGAGTATAGCAGAGTAAAATTAGATTGGAGGGGGATTAAGATGAGTTGATAAGGAAGTAGAATACTGTAGTTAAAAAATTCTATGAGGGATAGGAAAGCAGGAAGAAGAAATAAATTGTAGGATTAAGTGGTGGTTTTTCCAGTTGTAGAATGTGTGTATGTATGCTGGCAAACCACTTATAATGGAAAATGAACCTTAAGAAGAATGAAAAAGCCCTGAAACTCAAAAAAGCTAATTTTCATCATATAAATTTCATGTATAGAATAATTTTAGTAGTTGTCTCTGGAAGAGTTAAAATTCTTTGATTAAAAAAATCATTCCACTATTCTTTGAATTTTTAATGTATGCTTAGAGTGTTTAAGGCTTTAGAAATGCGTAATAATAGATTGTCAAAAACTGTATAAATTAATAGAAAATATAGTTTAAAATATTTTTGCTGATAAAATATAGGTATGATTGGAATATTTTATATGTAGATTTTTAACATGATGTGATGAGAGGGAATGTTAAGCACATTTATCATTTAACTGACTTAGAATCAGGAAAAAAAATCAGGGATGGTAAATTATAGGAGTATGATGCTTACATTGAAACTTGGAACTGCTCCAAAGTTATAATTTAAAAATGATATGTATCTATGGAAGAGGGAACTCCAATATAATGGAACAAAATGTTGACTGTAAAATGTTTGAAAAATATCTAATAAACCAAATACTGTACATATGATTGTAATCATTAGGAATGTCAGAAATACTGGACCCATGGTACTCTGAATATACAATATAAAATACTATTAGAGAACATTTATTGGGTATTATATCAGCTACTGTGTAATGCTTTACATATATTAAAATCAAATGACACTTTCAAAATGTAAAATAATACATATTTCAGACACTTCATTAGTAGAAAATGAAAAGATATATATTTTTCCTATTTAAGGTGACATGCATATCTATAGACAGTGGTCAACTTTTCAAATCAGTCTTAAAGGAATGGGTCATATTCATGCTTTCAAATATTCTGAATTAACATCACAACCACCTTTGTTTCCCTAAATGATCAACTTTTTGTGTACGGAGGTGGTATCAATAAAATGGTGTTTGTTTATAGTTCTTGATAGATTGAAGAGTGAATGTGTTGTTTGGAAGTGGGAAAAGGGAATATAATAGTGGCCTGGAGTAGGAGTAGAAAGACTTATTTTTAAAAATCTACTCCATCAGAAATTTGTATTACAAGTTTCTTTCCTCAGTGTAGGGTTTACACTCATACTTTTCTTGAATTCTTCAAACTTAACACCTATTTGTACTCTGAGGAATGAGAATCTGAGTTTTATGTGATTAGGACAGAGAAAATGTTTTTAAAGTGAGTTCCAAGGGCTGAAAAAGAGAGACTTACGGTTTTGCTAACAAAAATAAGTTATGCTCTAGATAGTACCTTTGTTATGATTTTTGCTGATTTGGAGGCTCCAAACCATAGCTTCTAATTCAGCACTGTTTAATTTTTCCATTATAGGCATGTTTCTCCCCATCTCAGTGAAAATGAATATCCCTGTCCCTGGGCTCTTTGGAATGAGGCCTCCCTATAAATGTTGATGGTATCCCACGTATATATTCATATAGTTTGTCTGACTTCCGACTGAAAGCTAGAAAGACATATAAAGTGGAGATCACAAAGTAATCCCTCCCCCTTGATATTTTGTTAACACAGTTATATGTTAAATAGTAGAGTGACAAACTCCTTTGGACCTAGGTTTGTAAAATAAAAGCACAGATCTGTGGATTCACATGTGTGATGATTGTGAATTATAGCATGTAAATCTTGGATAAGCTTATTTGTGGGAATCTATATACATCTATCAAAATTAACTCTAACATCTTTATGTAACAAGTTATATACTATGTACTATTTCATTATACAAAATATTAATCTTGCTTACCTCCCGAAGATGTAGGGTAGTGAAGATAGTTAAGTTCAGGTGGATTTTTAAATATATTGTGCTTAATATCTTGTGCTTAAGAGTCAGAGAAACCTGGCTTTATGCTACTTATTAGATGTGTAACTGTGTACAAGTTACTATGGAAACAGGCTCAGAGGCGTTATCCAGGAAATGCTTCCATATGTCAAGTGCCTGGCACATTCTTATGAGATACTCATTAATGAATGTTTATACCTTTCCTGTTGTACAGGATAAGTGAAATGCTTTCTGGAAAACTAATATTGAAAATGTTGGAAGATGTTCAAAGAGCTGTATAGCTGAGTAAATTACCAAATAAGGTGTCAATAAATAGAAAAACATGAAAAGGAGTACTGTTCCTACTATGTAGGACAGCTTTATTTTATTCTGTTATTAGCTGTGCTTTGGTTTGAGGAATTTTTATTAAGTTTCATATTAGATTTAATATACTGAAATTCTTTTCATGTTGAAAGATTTTTAGAGAGACTATCCTGTTGAGAAAGGAATCACCTATAATCAAATAATCTGATTAGTTTGAATCAAGGCTAATTCTACATGAATTAATAACGTACATGTATATTTCCTACTTGAGCATTGTCAACACTATTATTCAACGGATACCTTTGTTTAGGTGACGAGATAGAAGCAGAAAAAAAAGCTGTGTACAAAATAATCAGGTAATGCCACTTTTAAAAATTACAATTCTAAAAGCCATTTCAAACACTAAACTTTCATTATATATGTTTGTTAATTTGTATTAGAAAGCCCATTTTTTAAAAAAAATTTTAGTATAAGGTTAACAAAGTAAATAACAGGCTACATTCAGTGGATGTGATTTGTATTATGTCATTTTTGCTTTTTTAGCTGAATGAGTTTCTTCCATGAGTAAAATGCATTTATTCAGAAGAGAGGTATAGAACATTATAATTCCAAGGACATTTTTATATTAAAAATGCTATTTTGGGTGCTTAAATTGGAAAGGGTTTCATTTATTATCAACAGGAAATTCATAATCAAGGATGAAATCTTATCTAAATTACTGTGTATTTCTAATTATTATTTGAAGCTTGTATATTTTAAACCATGGTTACAGAATTACTGTATAGGAATGTACTGAAGGTAAAACCTTATTTACTGGACTTTTATTTTCATTCTCTACAACTTCAAAATAGTACTGTGATCTGAAACAACAGAATTATTTTTACTGTGTTAAAAACAAGCTTGAACTGCATCCTTCATTGTATTTTTCTAAAGAATTCACTTCTCATGAGTAAATGTTCAATATCATATAATTAGGAAATCATAATATTAAAACTTGAATTTTTTCTTTAACTATACCTTAATATTTTGAATGTTTTAGGATACTTGCAATTAAACTATAAATTCTGATATCTTGACTATAACATTAAAAATAAATAAGATCTTCAAGTAAGCACGTTTCCAAATCATACTGCCATTGTGCAAAAACTGTTTTCTAAAGACTAAAAGTTGTGCTTATTTGGAAAAGTCAATGATTAAGTCTTTATAAGCAATTGAGGTTCTGTTTTCCTTCTAAACGTTCCTTTACTAATTTTTCCAAAGAGAAAAGATGCTCATCTGCATCTTCCGGCACAAGGTTCCTAATAGAATTTGCGAGTTCAAAAAGATACTCTGTATTTCTTCCACTTGGACCAGATGCATTAAAAATTTGTTCAGCAATGTCTTCCAGAGGTGCAGGACCAAGATAATTAGGATTATCACATGTTCCAATATAAAGCAACACACTAAATGGTTTTGTTGTGGGATCTTTTGGATAAAAAATGACTGTTGTGGTCCTGTAGCCTCCTTTCTCTCTGAAGTCAAGGTATGCTTTTACTTCCTCCTCCTTTCCTACTGGCAATCTGTAAGCAACACCCCATACACAACCCTGTTGAAAAATGAAAAGAATATATTATTTAGTATTTACAAGGCTAAAATAGGTGAGGAGATATTGTAATCTAAGAAAATATCTTGTATAATCTTAGAAATCAATAGTTTTCTTCAGTTAGTACACTGAAGAGGTACAAATAAATAAAGGAAATCAGCATTTTAAATTCTTCAATCTGAATAATTTTCTTGCACACCAGGATATTTATCTTGTTTAAATTTTTGAAAGTATATCTTTTATCTAATGAAACTGAAGTGAAAAAATATCAGGTCTTTATTTGGGCATTAAAAATATAGTTCTAAAGCTTTAAATCCATAAACATTTCACCGATGGTATAGGGCAGTAGTTTCCATACTGCTTCATAGTGTTGTAATCACTCGAGCCTACCTCAGATGCTGGCTGGATATGAATGTTGGGGTACTAGCTGGGAGAGTTTTGACACCCCAACTCCCTTCAGCTAGGAGCTGAACATCACTTATCTTTTTACATATTAGGTGTTCCTTTTACAGAGTGTTCTGTATTTTAAAGCTCTGTAGTAATCAATTTTACTTAAGGCTATAGCAGTTTCATTTTTTGTTCATTTCTTCACTGCTTAAACAAACTTTCAAATATCCTTTGTAAAATTACTCCATCCAGAATACTACATGCAACCTCTTTTGTCAAGAGAGCCCATGAACAAAGTGTCATTAAAAAAATGTACTATAGCTGCAAAGTTTTTTTTTAGTATTAATAAAATATCTGTGATATAAGCAAGATTTAAATTTTATAGTACAGATTTTCTAGTTTCTTGACAATCTTTATTAACTTTAATTATTAAACTTTAGGTTGCTAAGCATCTTCTTGAATAAATTAACATTCTATAGAAACAAAGTGCCATTTATTAACTTTAAGGGTTATAGTTACCTTTGAAGCCATTTTTATAGATGCTATTCCTAATGTAAATTATGAAAGCATTTCATAATTCTAACATTATTCATCTGCTGTTGCTCACTGAAGATTTTTGTATATCGAAATCCTTTCCAAAGTTAAATCTTTAACTTCATAATATAAAACTGAATTTAAATCTCGATAAAATGATTGAAAATATTTAAGAAACAGAGGAATATTGGGTAAATAAGTTTTCTAGTGCTCCAACCTCTTTAAAAACCTGTTGCGCTATTGATAAATTTAGGCAATAAAGAAAGTGATAATTCCTAACTAAGATTTTTGCTGGAAATATAAGACTCCTAGCAAATATGAGGCGAGCTTTAAGGGTTCCATTTTAATTTTAGTGGTAGTTAGACTGGCTTCATAAATGTCAAAGGAAGCACAAAATTCTATCAACAAACTCATTAAGGAAAAAAAAAGACTACATGCCATTTGGTTTTCTTTTGTTATCTACCTTGCATTCTGCATTCCAGCCTTTTCCAACAGATGAAAAGAAACAACAAACAGAGTAATTCTAGACCTAGTGTAGTTCAAATGGTCTGTAATAACTGTTAATACAATTTCATTAATTATTAAAACTGAGAAACATCTCAAAAGCTTATATGATTAAAGACTATATGAGAAAAGTAATTATACCATACCCCAGAATCTTCAACAAGAGTCACAACTCTTCCAGGCTGTTTTAAAAAAAGTGGGAAAAAAAAAAAAAAAAAAGTTTTTTTCTGAAGTTATTTAATCAACTAACCAAGCATCAGCAACTTATTGACATGGAATATTTTAACTTTACTTGCTCAAACAGTTTTTTTAAAAAGCATTTCTGTTTTTTTCATAAATTTTAAGATGAATTAAGTGAGAGAATCTACTTTATCCAAACTATCTTGGCCTTTCTAAGCCATTCCCTTCAATTTGTACATACTAGGTATATATTATGTTGACTTAAAATGGTTATATTAAAAGACACACCTGTGACTAAGACTCATCTAAAATGGAAGGCAAATGGAAGAAACAGTTACACATAAAACTTCTGGTCATTTTTTCCCTTTAGGAAAAGAAAAGATTGCTATAAGTTCTATTAAGGCACAAAACATGGCATTCCAGGGTGCTTTCCTATGGGGAAGTGGTTCTCGAACTTTCGTATAGATCAAAATTACTTGGAGGGCGTGATAAACACACATTGCTATGTCACACTCTCAGAGTTTGATTCTGAGAATTTGCTTTTTTTTTTTTTTTTTTAAATATAATTCCTACCTGGTGCCAAAGGTTATGTATCTACTATCATGTTAATAACATCATTAGTGAGAATGCTGAGTTGTAAACCACAGTTTTACTTACTTGATGCCCATTGGCAAATATTGAGCCTAAATCATTCATATATTTGTGTCATCCTTGTTGCTATTTCCTTCTAGTCTTTGTCTACTTGTATAGATAATTAGTAATCATGGAATATATGGGATTTTGTTTCATATTTATTTTCTTGTTAGTCTTCTCATATATTTTAATAGTTGTGTGATATTCTGTCATCAATGAACTATAATTTAAATTTTCCTGTGCTATTTCATTGGACATTTAGATTTGACTTGTTTTGTATTTAAAATAATGCTACAATGAGGAAACCTATATTGCTATAGGTCATGTAGGTATTTCTCTATTATTTTTGATTTCAAAATTAATTAGGAGCTATTTATTGAATACCTACTCTGTGTTGTAGAGAACACAAAACTTTAATTCTTACTTCCAAGAGCTTACATTGTAATTCTGGAATAGGAACTTAACATGTGAAATTTAGGTAGAGAATACTTAAGTGCTAAGATGTATGGTATTTATTAAGTACAGTAAGAATTCCAAGTCTTGAGTGGTCAGAAAGGAAGACAAAATTCTGGTAAAAGGGTACTGTGACTCATGATTGAGAAGTGAGGGCCTAGAGACAGTATCATACCAAGCTAAATGTCTGACTTTAGCAGAGGGTCCCGCATGTACGGAAGATGATGCAAAAAGATAATGAGAAATAGGAGAGAGTTAGATTCGAAAAGTCAAAGAGCGGAATTGAAATTAGGAGACAGTGGAAAATAAGCTGTTAAAATTTGGGAGAAATAGGAAATAAGGAGCTACTCTAGCACTTGAGTCACAGGTGACTGGCATGATAAAAGAAGTGTTTGGGGAAGATCATGGTAGTAAATGAAGTTAAAGTGAGAAGGAGGTAGATTCTGAGTAAGAAATGTTAGTGGTCCAGGTGGCAAGTTCTGTACTGCACCTTTCCATGCCTCCCCTTACATTCAGCTAAGTCTTCAATTCTTGGTAGCTCTGTCTTCTGATTTATCTTCTGAATCTGGTTCCAATTTATCTCCGTTACTTTCTTTGGGATCTCACTGCCTGCTTCTAATTTTGCTTCCCTCCATTCTTTTCTCTATTTGGCCCTAGAACGACTTTTTGGTGCAAAAATTGGGCCACTCATTCCCGTGCTTTGAATTTTTCAGGGTTGTATTACACAGGATAAAATAAAATTCCTTAGCATGACTTAACTACAAACCTCATTTCTTACCCGTTTCCCTCAAGCTGTACTGAATTATCTATTACTTTTACAAACATTCATATCTTTGGATATACTGGTGCTTAGTGTGGCATGCCCTTTCTTCTTTCATATCCCTCTGATATCCTCTTGGCATTCTCCATAAAGGCTTGGCTGACTCCCCAGACAACTGTAGCAGCAGTAGAGAAGCAGCAGCAGCCCCTCCTAAACTCTCATTGTTCCTTTTATTCATTTCCTTTATAGCACTTATCAGGTATTGTTGTTTGCATACTATCTCCACTTATATGTAAGTGCCCAGTAGTAATTGTTGAAAGGAGGAGGAGCGGTAGTAAAGTCTTAGACTTATGGAAAACAACATTATATAGAGAGTCATTTTAAAAGAAAATAAATGGATCCCTGTGACTGCTTTATGGATGAAACAGACATGGACTATTGGTATTACTGATATATTTTCTAAAACTTAAGCTCTTTTGTTCCTAAAATACAAATATATTGTTATTGAAAAACAATATAAATGCACTTAAATGATTTTTTGGGGGGATTGAAACTGACGGTCTTTCAAGCTGAATGAAATTGGAAGATGTTGTGAAATATGAGTCATGATGGGAGCTTTTATTGAGTAATGAGTAATGTTTCTGATCTAGAAGTTAGGGATTTAGTAAATGTTCATGATTATTTCTTGTGTTAAAACATTTCCTCTTTTTGAAATTGTAATTTTTATTCTCTCTGATGTGAAATAATCTTCACATTTGAATAGATCCTTCATTTGGTGAGAAATTGCTAGTTATATATAAATGAGATACTTGATTAAATATATGAAGAAATTAGAGTTTAATGAAGCCAAAAAGAAAGCATAATTTAATGATGGTAGTAAGTTTGGTATTTTTCCCACAAATGTCAATTGCAGTATGTGGGAATAAGTCTAACATTTGTTTAATATCACATTTCATACATAATAATGACTCACTTGGAGCATATGTTGCTGTAAAAAACAGTCCTATGACATAGTGTCTATGTCATTCTTCTCATTTGCTGTAGGCTTTTGTATTTTTGTTTGTCAGTTAATATATAAGATTAGTGATCCATTACAATAAAAAATGTGAAGTAAAATAATAATGTTCTTTCTAGTTTTTTTTTTTTAACAACAGTATACTTAAAAAAATATTTAGTACTTAGACTTTAAGTTGCTCTGATGGATTCTTAAAATAAAAGTGGGTGTAAAACTATTAGCCAAGACAATTCCGCCCCCCCCAAACTTTCCTGTCCTATATTTTAATAAATTTAAGTAAAAAGATACTGGCTTTTAGAGCTCCCCTCTTTTTGTTGTATTAACTTGACAGTTTCTTTGAATGTGCTGTGTAAGAAACATACATTTTGGTTGAGACTAGAGCAGTAAAATATGCTATTGTGCTTTTGGACCAATACTAATCTTTTTAAAAAATGGTAATTAAGCTTATACAACGTTCATTGTATTTTAGAGACCATGTAATTAAAAATTTTGTCCTCTTCCAAAAGTTAGGTTAACTAAAACAAATGTTCAAGTTATCCCATTGTTAGTTACCCCAAACTAAGTTTTCCTTACAGATTAGTTGCTTTGCAGCCAATACAAGGCTAATTTCCATAAACAGTGAGCTCCTAATTCTCTGTACAAACATATTGAGATGAATGTCTTTGCATGACTGACTGAAGAATGAATCAAAGAACTTAACATTTCACATTTATAATGTAGAGGAGAACCATGGAGAAAGAAACATTAAAACAATGCTGGATATAATGATGTTACTCAAGTAACCAGGAACTCGTTTAACTTTGCTAGTAGTCGACAACCAAAGTGATCAAAGTAAGCTCCTTAATAACGTGAGGTAATTTTGGAAACTAGTTCTTCTGTGACCTTAGGTGTCATAAAATATAACCTTTGTAAAGATATAAAGAAACCCCAGAAATAACATATACGTTTGAGCTCAAACCAATGAAAGTCTGCCAGAATGCAGAAATGCCAACACATTTAATTTCTAAAAAGCGGTATTCCAGGTTGGTTTTAGTATTTCAACTCCGTGGTAACTCAAAGCTTGATTTTCCCGCCGTTTTTTTTTTTTTTTTTGAGGCGGGGGAGGAGGGGCAGAGGTTGCCCAGAGATGGGGCCCCCTGCCAGCGGGTCAGCCTTTTATGAGCTTGTGTGCTTGTGCCCATGCTGCTCGCCTCCTCAAGGAAATTAACCAACAGCATCTGAAGTGGCTTCAGAATGAGTGCCCTAGGTTTGGGAGAGGTGGGAGGCAGGTGGCCGAGCAAGATAAATAGATATAACAGCATCGTCCCTAACCCACATGGGAAGCGTTGGGATGTGGGTCCTGCGAAGATGGGTCAGCAGTTGGGGAGGAACGCTTCAGAGACAGTAAGTGTGGGGGACTGGCTAGCGGCTCACCTTGCCGGGGACCCCGCGGTGGTCTGTGCTGCCTTGCCAGAAGCGCCTGCTGTAGCCTGTGATGTATCCGACCAGCTTGTCCTGATAGGGGAAGTCTACCTTCCAGATCAGCGACCCGTAACCAAAAACCCACATCTTTTCCTTGCACCTCTGTCTCCACACGGCTGCGGTCAACCCCTCCGCTGTAGTCCCCGAGGTGAGGGCGGGGAGTGCTCCTTGCCGGAGGCAAGTTACCGGCTGCGCAGTAGCCTCAGTGCCTGGTTGGTTGCGCAAAGCACACTGGGACTTGCATTCGAGGTACGTGTGCTGACTTGGTCAACGTTATTTTTTTTTGTTTCCCTGTTTAGGGTATCAGGAAACATTGACGTTCTGAATGCTAAGCAATAGATTCTTCTGCAGCCTCTGTAAATTACCCTAACCTTCCTTTCGTGCGCGGACTACAATACCCACAATCCTTTTCTGGGGTTCGTGGCTCTGAGGTCGAGTTATCTCCCTTTTTCGAACCCGGGAGAGTGCGAGAAAAGAGGCTTGTAGTCCTGGCTTGCATGTGGTCTAGAAACCGAGAAGGGATATATGGGTACGGAAGTTGGCACGTGTAAAGACATTTTGTTACATTTTGAAAATCGGGGTTCTTGCCCATATTACAGAAGTCAAAGGAGCACAAGCTGGGAACATGACCCGTATTTGACTTTACGTACATTTAAAAAAATAACTTGCTTTTTTATCTTTCAAATAAAGGCAGAAAGTGTATGCTTGTGCAAGAGCTACTATTGCAACAAAATTTTCTTGCATATTTAAAGTTTACACGCAAATTTTACATGCAAAACGCAAAAGAAACTTATCGTCTTTAGTATTCTCAGCAGCTCACTCAGAAAAGAATGGGCAAAGATCTTGGCTCATTTACAGGCTTTGAAAGCTATCTGAGGAATCTCCAGAAATTTTTACACAGTTTGGGGTCTGTTCATTTTTCTGGGGAGAAATTTTATAGCTTTTATAAATTTTCCCATAGGTCAAGGATTCTAAAAAAAATGCTAAGATCTGCTGGTTAGACCTACTGTTCTAAAATATTGTTTAGGAAGCTCACTTAGACTATCAGGCCTGCATTTCTGTATGTGAAAACGAAAGACTTACTAAATGATTGTTCTTTTTTTGAGGATTTCTAACTATTCCACGGTCTTTAGCTTTATAAAAGAATGCAAAAACAGCCAGGTTCAAAGAATATTATTTGTGTTCTTAAGAAATCAGCA